CCGCAAATTTCCATTCTTAATTGCTAGGCGTCGGGGATAATGCCTCTCGCCAAAAGAATTAATTAAGGGACGTCTTTTTCTGTTATCTCTCTGCCCGCTTGATGAATTGTCTTAAACTTTTGAGGTTAGTTGGATAAGAAAACTGGGACGGAAGGGAACAGAATAAATCATTTTATATTCTTCTTGAGGTCCTTGCAAATATTTACTACCCACGCCGTAGTAGCGTATTGCAGTCGAAAAGGTTTTTTGTCATTTATTTTCGTCCGTCTGTCTGTCAGTCCATCTGTCGGTCTGTCGGTTTGTCCGCTAATCTTTAGACCACCTATAACTTGGAAGGTACCGATGGGATGTTTATGAACTTTTCAAACAAGGCACCTCAATATCAAGGACGAAAACACATTGTAGTTTTCAGATCATCGGCTGACAGTCAGAATGATTGGGGAAAAGTTAAATTTGACTCCCACCACCGTTCATCAGATCAATAACAACTAGGTGGTGCATTACGATAATGCTCCTTGTAACCCAGCAATGTCAGTAAACAAGTTTTTAGCCACTAAAAACATTCCCGTGGCTTCTCAGCCTCCTCATTTGCCTGACTTGAGTCCTTGTGATTTTTATGTCTACCCGAAGTTGAAAAATCTATTCAAACCATAGTAACCAACCAGCTGAAGGCTAGGCTTATTTTAAAGTTGGCAATATAAAATTGTAGTTATAATGGGTGATTTTTTTGCTAGTATCTGTTTGCCAACACTGTCATTGACAGATGACGCGTGATTCGTGTCTTGTGTCATTGTCAAACTTGTTCAGTTTGGTCTATAATTTAACCATGAATCGACTTACGAACTAACAACGCTTGCAAATTATTGAATTTTACTATCAAAATTCATGCTCGGTTAAGAGAGTGCATCGAGCACTGCTTCCAATTTATGGGCAATTTGGTCGGCCTACTGAGGGAGCTATTCGGAAGCTTGTGACTAAATTTCGAACCCAGTTTACATTATTGGACATTAAACCGCCAACACGCAGACGTAGAGTGAGGACTGAAGAAAATATTGCGGCTGTATCCGCCAGTGTTAGTGATGACCGTGAAATGTCGATTCGCCGCCGTTCGCAGCAATTGGGGCTATGTTATTCCACTACATCTTGCGACAGGATTTGGGTGTAAAACCTTATAATATACAGCTGGTGCAAGAATTGAAGCCACACGACTTCCCACAACGTTTCCAATTTGGTGAATGGGCGCTAGCAAAGTTGGAGGAAGATTCACATTTTTATCGAAAAATTGTGTTCAGCGACGAAACTCATTTCTGGCTGAATGGGTACGTTAACAAGTAAAATTGCCGCATCTGGAGTGAAGACCAGCCAGAAGCATTGCAAGAGTTACCAATGCATCCCGAAAAATCACTGTTTGGTGTGGATTATGGGCCGGTGGCATCATCGGGCCGTACTTCTTCAAAGACGATAATGGCCGGAACGTAACTGAGAATGACGAGCGCTACCGTGCGATGATAACAAACTTTTTTTTTGCCTAAAATGGAAGAGCTGAACTTGGCTCACATGTGGTTTCAACAGACGGTGCCACATGCCACACCGCACACGAAACAATGGCCCTATTGAGAGGTGAGTTCGGTGAACAGTTTATCTCACGTTTGGGGCCCGTCAATTGGCCGCCTAGATCGTGTGATTTAACGCCGTTGGACTATTTCCTTTGGGCCATGTTAAGGCTAATGTCTACAGGGATAAACAGCAACGATTGACGCACTGGAAGCCAATATTGAAGCATTTATTCGTGAGATAACCGGCCGATATGTTGGAGAGTGTGCCAAAATTGGACCTTGCGCATGGGCCATCTAAAGCGGCGCCGCGGCCAACATTTACATGAAATAATCTTTAAACATTAATTATATCGACCGTTCTATCGACTCAAATAAAGATTTAATCGTTTTTTCTAATTTTTTGTGTTTTTTGAAAAGCAAATCCTACACCTCTTAAAAATCACCCGTTATTTGGATAAAAAATTGAAAAAACAGTCCCATCACCTAATTTACAGACCTCGTCTAACCGATTGCGCTATAACTCAAAACGAGCAGATTACAACGAATGGAGCACGTTAGGTATGGCGTATTCCTGTCGCCATATAAATATGAATTAAAACATGGCGGAGATGAAATCCATAAAATCCCGATGACAACACGATGTTACGTGTACGTATGGGATCCAGTCAGTATCCACCATAAATCAAATTGTTAGCTGGGATATATTTTTTTGTTTACAGTGGATACATCAGTGTACATGTATGCATATTGTACGGCTGCTAGACGAACAGATGCTGAACATGTAAACACAGATTAACGGAAGATATGGGGTGTTGTTACTCTGATAATGGGTATTATCGAGCCACTAATGGAACTGCTGAGAGATATTTTTTTTATTTTACCACCCATACTTAAACTAAGGAAGCAGTTATCAAAATTATTAGTCCGGTATTTGGCAGGCTATACAGGACATTCCATATTGAAATGGATATAGTGAATTGGTAGGTGGTATCAACCGACACTATTTCATATTTGAAAATAAATTGTTATTACAGAGATGCAGTTTGACTTACCTAAATCAGCTAAATCCTTAATACCACGTATTTCAGGCACTACTGAACCCATTTTGTTGAAATTTCGCACGATAAAGCAACCTAGGTGTAACCTTAAAGAAAACCTATGACCGTGCTCGATTTTTTCACTTTCTTCCTTTCTTTCAGAATCACATCTTTTGAAATGTTGACAAAAAAGTTCATAAATGGTGCTTGTTAATAACCGAAATCGATTAGTTGCGCTTCTTTTGGCTTGTTAATCTTTTTCATTTACTGAGATATATTTTTTTAACTCAAAATTTCAAGGTTTGTCAACTTGTTTTATCAACATTTCAGAAATAATGGTAACTTTGAACTAAAAATGCTTTGGGAATTCAAACTTCCAGGGTCAGATTCACTTTCTTCTTGTAATTTTGATAGTTGCATATGTTTAGTCCAGACTTCCCCAAACTTTTTTGTGTCGTAGACCCCTTGCCATGTTTTTCCGTGTTGGGTAGACCCCCTACTTACTTGATATTGATTTCCTGTAAATTTCTAACTGTAGTGAAGTTTAGTGTTAAAAACACATGTTAATTTATACATTTATTAATTGAATTTAAATTAAACTACTCAAAATAAAGTTTTGTATCTGTTATGTAAAATATACGTAAAATTAAATAAACAGGTGTCTGACCAATAAGTGTCCGCATTGGGAATAAGTGCCCGCATTGAGAAAAAAATAAGAGGGATAAAATAAAAAAAGTGAAAAATGATAAAAAAAAAGTTTTTTACTTAAAATAGTACAATAAGCGAGTTCGTTTATTAATTATAACATAGACGTATGTTCTAAAATAATTTCACTGTTAGTTTGATTAAATTCCGCTTCTTATTCGTTTATTTATCTAAAATAGACAAAAAATTAACGAATTTTAGTGTGTACCTATCCTTGGATTTTCAGAATAATTTAAAAAAAAAATATTTCTATAAGAAGGGGGGTTCTTTAAAAAAAATCAATGGGGGCACTTATTCCCAATGCGGGCATTTATTGGTCAGACACCAATAAACATAAAATAAACTATAAATAAATAACATAAGCAATAAAGTCAATATTTTTAGTGAGAAGGATGAACCTGATGCTTTAGTAATAAATTATCAACAATTGGCGTCAATTTGTAAGGGTTAATCTTAAATCTCCTCGGCTAATGATGTCCAGTCTGTTTCTTTTTTTTCGTTAGGAGATTGGTAACAGCGCTGAATCCCTTTCCACTAGTATGACGATGGAAAGGAAATTAAAAATGTCCTCGCTATATTCCATAATACGGGATAAGTAACGGGTATGTTGTTTTGCAGCCAGAATTGCTGATATCCGTTTTTAAACTGAACCTTAAGTTCTTCGTTTGTACTTAGTTCAGTCAGTTCCTCTAGTATGATGACATGTCTTTCTTCTATGTCGCCATATGGATTAATTATCCACGGTGGTATTACCATTGTCAAAATATCCTCAAACCTAGATTCAAAATCTGAATAGAGGGCATTTAAATGTTTAACGTAAGTTGAAACGTCGTCTTCCTGGCAGCTTGTCTGTGACAAATTGGGGAACTGAGAAAATTCGTCCCGTCCAATATTTTGCTTCATTAGTTTAACTCTGGCAAGAAACACTGAAAGACGGACTTTGTTTTAATCAAATTTAAACTGTCGCCTTGTAATTGCAAATTAACCATATTAAATTTTGTAAACAGGTCTGTTAAATAGGCGATGTCTGTTTTCCTCTTCATTAAATTTTCGTTTAAAATTTTATCTTTAGTATCCTGAAATTAAAATAGTCTCAAAAAGTGCAAAAAATCTTGTCAAACATAAGCCTTTCGATAGCCAGCGTACTTCAGTGTGAAGGAGTAATTGATGAAAGTGTTCGTCATTTTCTTCACACAACTGCGCAAATAACCGCGTATTCAACGCGTTGCTTCGGATCGGTTTACTGCATCAATGACTAAATGAAGTGATTCATGCAATCTAACACTCAAATTTTTAGCAACTAAATGTTGTCGATGGATAACGCAATGTATTGCTAACAGCCCTGACACATTTTGTTTTAAATAGCTTATAAATCCACGATAACGTCCAACCATGGCAGGTGCTCCATCTGTAGCTACTGATATATATATGATAAAGGAATTGCTTTTTCAATGTAGTAATCCTTCAAAACATGAAATATTGATTCACCTTTCGTGTCGGTTATCAAAGTTCTTGCGAAGAGCAGTTCTTCGTAGATTTCTTGATTCATAAAAAACGAAAATATGCCAATAATAATGCTGCATTATCAGGTAAAGTTGACTCGTCCAGTTGTATAGAGAAATGGGTCGTTTGCAAATAATTACATAAGAAGCTTTCAATATCAGAACTCATTTCATCAATACGTCTTCAACAGTATTGTTGCTTAAGGGAATTCTTTTGATGAAGCAGATGCAGGTTTGTGTAAAACAGTTTTTAAAACCTCTTCAACGGCTGGAAAAATTAACTTCTCTCCGATAGTATGCGGTTTTCCGGATTTTGCTATAAGTAACGAGATATTGTAAGACGCCCGCAAACCATCATCATTTCTTTGTGACGTCGAAGCGAACATTCTGTCCAGTGTAGGTCTCTTCTGAAATTTATCTTTGAGTGTTTGAAAGTATTTCAAATCTTTCTCTGTTTTATCAGGGTGGCATCTTCTCAGATGATCTTGCAGTTTAGATGATTTCATAGTGTCATTGCCCAAAGCTTTGTTGCATAAAAGGCACATAGGCGATTGTTTGTCCGGTAATGATGGAATGAAGCCAAATTTCAAATAATCAACACTGTACTGTATATTAAAAATATATTTTGATTTTTCCGTAAACATTCCATAATTCGAACATCTTCTTGCAAGAATTAGCTCGAATTACGGAGATTGCACTGTAATTATTTACCGATTGCTAAAACTTTCAAAAAGAAACTATTGAGGAGTACTCGTGTAATTTTGCATGATTGAATGTTTAACTACTAATAACTAAAGTTATGATTGGCTAACTAGTACAAAACAAAATTTAATAAAAAAATAATGTACTTACTTTTCTCCAGCACTCTCAAACAAAATAACACTGACTCACTATAATTTGTGTGATATACTATCTGTTTATATTTTTTTAAAATTTTCTTAGCACTTTCCTTTTCAAGATTCAGGAAACGAATAAACGTATTTGTCCCACATTCGTGTTTA